AAGGGGTAACCCTATGTTTAGGGGTACATCCAGTAACTCAGGGAATTTGTGTCTGTACTAATGGGATTATGTGTCACACTAAGGGGAGAAGATGTGTGTGGGAGGTAACTGGTACATTATTGGCTGCGGTACTAATTGTTGTGGATCCCTCCCTTGCATGGGAGAATGTCTTAAAAGGAGGTTGTGTGAATAAATCTGCAATTTCTTCTTAACCCTCAAAGTGAAGTGCCGTCTCATTATTGGGGAAGGATTTATTGTATGCCGTTCCAGTTTGACTGCTAGGAGTCTAAACACATCCGTATGTTTTTTGCCTATTCAGCTGTTTATAGCATTCATAAGCTTGAGAGAAGGTATATGCTTCACTGGTTCGGTGAGTGTGGTGTCTGCCAGAGTGCTTGGAGTCCTCAGGAAATGCTAGGGGCATCCATCAACGGAGGTACCCAGTTGGGGTGCCAGGTGATCCGTTACAATGATATTAGATGCTGGCACATGACAAACGATCCGTTATTGCACGAAAATGTTGAAAAACGATTACAACAAGTTGTCATCGATCATAGAAACCGATTCTGGCCAGATGTGAGAACAATTAGGACTTGTGTAACTAGGGAAGGTATCTCATTATGTGTCAGAATCATGTTACAAAATAGATTGATCTATATTTCATAAATTAGACAAATGATTAATTCTTTGAATTAATTTTAAAACTAAATTATATATATTTTACTTAATACTGCATACGGTATTAGTTATTGGTAAAAACAGTTTTATGCTTGTACAGGGCTGGTGGAAAGATTTTTTTGCTACAGAGACGAAGATGCATTTTGCGTCTCCCTCCCTACCCTTTTTTGCCTTATACTCACCTTTATATATCTTATTCACAATTGTTTCCTTTTGTGTCTCTTACACCCCACCCTTTGTGTGTCTCTTTATACTCCAGCCCGTTTGTTGATCTCCTTCTAACCCAGCCCCTTTGTGTGTCTCTTTCTCCCCCAGTCGCTTTGTGTTTCTTTTTCCCCAAGTTCCATTGTCTCTTTTCTCTTTCTCCTGCCAGCCCCTTTATGTGTCTCTGTGTCCCCCCAGCCCCTCTAGGTGTCTTCCCCCACCCCTGTCTGTCTTTTATGCCCCTTCCCTAGCCTCTATCTGTCTCTTTTGCCCCTTCCATAGTCCACACCCTCTGGGTGTCTCTCACCCAAGCGCCAGTACTTCCATGTATCTCACCTCCCCCACGTGTTTCATTCCCAAAGCCCCCAATTTGTCTCAAGTCCTGCCCGAAGCACCTCCACATATCTCGTTCCCCCCCAAGCACCTCCATGTGCTCATTTCCTCTCCCACAGTCCCTCCATGTGTCTCATTCTCCCAGCTCCCCATATGTCTCAATCCTCCAGCCCCCCATGTGTCTCAAACCCCCAGCACCCATGTGTCTCGATTCCCCATCCCTCCCGATGTGCATCAATTTCCTAGCCCCCCATGTATCTCAACCCCCCCAGCCCCTATATTTTTAAATCCACAAGTCCCCCCATGTGATGATATAAAATGCTGGCACATGTCTGAGTCCCACTGTCACCCCATGTGTCTCAATCCCCCAGCCCCCATGTGTCTCAATCTCCAAATACCAATTTTTTCTCAATCTCCCAGCTAACCCATATCTCTCAATCACCCCCATGTTTTTCAATTCCCCAACACCTTCATGCGTCTCAATTTCGCCAGGCCGCCCACATGTTTCTCAATCCCTAAGCTCCTCCACATGTCTCAATCCCCCAGCACCCTCCCATGTTTCCTAGTTCCCTATTTCCCCGTGTGTCTTATTTCCTCCCCTCTCTCCCTCGTGTGTTTTACCCACTCTCCATCCCCCCTCCCCTCATGTGACAGCTCACCTCCCTCTACTTGTGTAGCATGGTTGAGCATAGACTGCAGTAGAGGAGCTTGTTTCCCTCTCCCCGGTCTTACAGGAAGCAGTTCGGTGCTCTCAGTGATCACTCCTTTTCAGACAGGGTAGAGGGAAACAAACTCCTCTCTCCCAGTCTGCAGCTCAGAGACTGGAAGGAGGGGAGCACTGCACTGTGTGCTCTCCTCCTGCCTAATCTCTCTCCCGAATCCTGCTGCCTGTGCCACTTTATGGTAGCATCAGCCCAGGATTTGTATAAAGTTTATATTTTTTTGATTAGATTTATTCCCAGTATTATTTTTATTTTGTCCAAATCTGCTCTTAAAAAAAAATATAAAAGAATCCTCCAGCCCCCCCATGTGTTTAGGATTTTTACATGTTGAATAAAGGTTTTGTATTATTGTAATCAGTTTTCAATATTCTTGTTCATTAGCCTACACCCTATGTTTTCACACAGCTGCATTTGCCCTTACATTAATTAAGGGTCTGTCTACGCCTGTGATTGCTGATTAACCTCGGATTGTTTGGATCCCTATAATGTCAATTTGGGATAATTAAGTAAGTTTGTTTTGAAAGTAATTTTGACAATTTATATTCTCTATATATACTGCTTGTTTACACTGTGGTGTTAGCTTGATGAAGACCTAATTTGAGGTCGAAACATTGACCATCCTTGGGTGCCTGGATCAATTTTGTTTTTCCATTGATATATTGGGGTTTGCCAGCCCAAAGTCTGGATTTTTACCCTGGAGTGACAAGAGAAGTGTGATTTTCTTCTATTTCTTACATAATATGATGCCAGTTGATATGTGGTCTTGTATAAAGTAATTTTATGACTTAGGAGATGTCAGTTCCACCATGTTTCCTTGGATAGATGAATACGAAGAATCTTGAATCTGACTGCCACTGATGACAGGGCCATACATGATGTGATGCTCTCATTGAGTTCAGGTTTGAAAGGCTTCATTATCAAATCACAGTACATGCAGGCAGTCGGAAACTTAAACAAGGATACCATTAAAATTTGCTTCCATCCAAGCAAATGTAAATACAACATTTACCTTTATTTTTTTATTGTTAGAAAAGTGAATCAAACAGGAGCAAAGGATGGAGGCAACAAGAAGTCTAATGCATTATGTGCTACAGGACATTTTTATCAAGACTTTACTCTCAGGTGTAGCCCCATGACTGACACTGCAGAAACATCATTGCATATTTTGTAGACAGCAGTACATTTTATAGTCATGGGTTCTTTCCCAAGAGAGTAACAAGTCAGGAAATAAATGGAACTATGAGGAAGTGGGTGGGATCAGGGCTACGAGGATCTCCTGCCAGAATGGCTGTGGCTCTCACAGTGATTAAATACTCAGAGGAATATTTACATTTGTCAAGCATCATACTGTAAAAGGAAACATTTTGCCATTATTTGGAATAACTGTAACATAAGGCTCAGACAATCATGTTATACCAACAGAATCATGTGCCATTCTACATATCTAAAAGCTTTGTTGTTATTCTTTGTGGGGGATGAAAGGGTGAGGCTTGAACTAGAAGTAGTTATGTTTCAAGTACAAGAACCATAAACCATAAACACTACAGTGCCAGGAGTGCCAAGAGAAAGTAGTTAAACTGTTCAAGAACACAGTTTCCCCTGTTGCTTTTACCACTAGGCTATTCCCAAACACATGCAGGGATGCACTCATGGCTGAGAGTGCTCAGCTGATGCTCTCAGCCAATAAGCATGGCCTTATAAGACCCTTGCAAGAGTAGGGGAGACTAAGGCAGGTGCTTAATGGTATCCAGATAAGTAGTCAAACTGTTCGTAAAATGGTTTTACTACTTACTCCTGGTTGTAGTAGTTATGTTGATGGAAGTGTTCAGTTATTCATCTGAGGCTGTTACATCACCTATTTTGCTATTGGCTTTGATGTTCATGCTTTGAATTTGTACTCCCCCTTTGTCAAATCATTCAAGTCAGTGGTGAGGTTACAAAAAAAAAGTCAGGTTACAATAGCCAAACTGTATACTTTAACTGAGTTTAAGATGCTCAATCCCTGCTCAGTGACAGAAACCCTTTTACATGGGTTATCCATACTCTAGAGCAAACCTGCACAACATGAGGCCTGCCAAAGGATTCTGTGTGGCCTGCACACCAAGGGATCCCATCAGGTGGCCAATGCAAGGGGGTGGGCCCCTTGCTTATAGGCAGAAGTGGGAGGATGTGAGAGCCACAAGTCACTTCCTACCTGAAACCAGAACTACGAGGGAGAGAGGAGGAGGCAGTGAGGATGGGGCCAGGCCAGGAGAGACAGGAAAACAGAACAGAGGAGAAGGCAGGCTGCAAAAGCCAGACCTTAACTCCCAACAGCCTCAGCCTGCAGATTGGACACCAGTGAAGACACCCTCCAGCACCCAAAAGATAGGAAACTGGAGGGTGGCTATATAAGTTTATATTTTGACCTGCATGTATCTATGTGTCTGTCAGTGTGTGTATGTGTGTGTATGTTCATGTCTGTCAGTGTCTGTGTGTGTATTTGCATGTCTGTCAGTGTACGCATCTTTATGTCTGTCCGTGTGTGTATGTTTTTCAGTATGTCTGTTAGTGTGTCTGTGTGTATTTGTATGTCTCTCAATGTGTGTCTCTGTGTGTATCTGTTTGCCTGTCAGTGTGTGTGTCTGTGTGTGTAGTTGTATGTCTGTCAGGGTGTGTGTATGTGTGTATCTGTATCTCTGTCCGTGTGTGTGTATCTGTATGTCAGTGTATGTTTGCGCGTATCTGTATGCCTGTCAGTGTGTGTGTCTGCGTAAGTATCTATATGCCTGTTAGTGTGTTTGCATGTGTGTTAATCTGTATGTCAGTCCTTGTAAAAAAAAAAATATAAAGTAGAAGCAAAGAACGAATGGTCTAAAAAGTGATCATATATCATTCTAAGTGGATTTATCTATTTTACATGATTAATTGATACATATGAGTAAAAGCTAGTTTTTTTTTCAAGTGGCAGAGAGGTGTATACAGTATGTATGTACAGATGTATTGTTCAAGCCTAATGAATTAAAGAGTTAAACAAGAATCAAATGAATATGACAAATAAAGGAAGACACATACACGTAATAATTGGCACATATTTGTTTTGTTTTTTATTACAATCAGAGAACACAGGCACCCAGTGCGGCCTTATCAAGGAGCAGACGAATGCGCCTAACCAACCTTCCCTGGGAATATATGAGATATCCTCAATAGCCCTTCCCAGAAACATATACCTCTTTTTCATCCATCATGGAGGAGTTACTATCACCCAAAAACAATCCTCCCTTTGCAGCGCTGCATTTAGAAACAAACACTCATTGGCAGACACACAAGGATTTTTTCATTATCATATGTAGGTCACACCACCAAATTTTGCTCTTGAGAAACCCGTTCTTTCATCATTATCCCAACAATCTGTTGAGGATGACGGGGACAACTGAAGGTTGGGCCTGTTTAAAGAAAAATAAAACAGTCCACCTCATTTAACGTGTAAGCGTCTGCACCCTTGGGTTCTTACTTCTTTAAAAAAAAAAAAATCAGAAGTCAACTCTTGGCAGATATGGCTTTAAACGTAATATATTACCCTCTTACACATGTCCGAAACTTCAGAATCCAGTTAAATTAGATTCTTTCATTTTCTCTTTTCAAGTGTGTCAAACAAGGGGTCATATTTTAAAGACAAACTACTGACTTAAGCACAGGGAAGCAGGAGTTAGTATCCTTCTCAGTGATAACATTGATCACTGCCTGTAGAGAAAATGCATATTATCAATATATAATTGTCATTAGATAAATCTTTATATTGGTCTATAAGGACAGCATGCCACTTGAGGGAAGCTAAACCCATATAAATCAAAGGAGGACCATCTCTCAATACCCGTTACATACAATAGAGTAAAGATTATAAAATATTCCAATAATATCTTAAGTAATAATTTGGAATTCTTTGTTATAAAAATAATGATTAATTACACCATGCTCTGATCCTTCTATTTTTGCTACTGTAATTGTTTGTGAACTTTAAGATGATCTGTACATTAAACCCCAGTAAAAGAGCTTGTTTTTGTTTTGTTATTTGGCAATGGAGGCCCCAGGAACCATCTTCATCTTATAGGTGATATGTAATATCCTCATATAATGAGGCAATTTCTAAACGACAAAGGCATTTCAATCTAGCTCCTTTGTTGCTGTGTAGTGCTTACAAGGCATTACAAAATCAAGAAAAAAGTATCCTACATGGACCATACCCACCCGTTCTATGGCAGAGGGATCATTTTTGAAATCTCTTTGGCGCTGGAAGGAAAACTGGCACGATTCTTTGTCAATCCACCCAGCTTTGGTAAGGTTAGAATTGCTTATATTACTGTTGATACAGTAAATATTGTACCTGAAAATCTCACTGATCTGAGAGGTGTTCTACTGATGTCCCTATATATTTCCTTCTGCCTCTTATATGGTCCGAACCTAACTCTTTTATGCACTGGGCTTGCCTTGTAATGCACTGGTAGCCTATACAGTCACAAAGGAGTTAAAAACCTGCATTCGACATATAGATATAACAAAAATTATTAGGAAAGTTGATAATTTATGTAGCAAAATACATAACATAAGTTAAGAAACATAGAATCTACATGGTTTAACTGCTACATTTCTTAAAGATAATGTAATAGCAAATTGTATACATTTCCAATGTTTCTGTTCAAAAAAGGTGGGACACTCAACAATAAAACCCACTTATATTGTGAAATAAGATTGAGCGAAAAAGAGAGAGAAAGAGAGTAAACAGGGTAGTCTATAAGGTGATACTCTTAAAAAAGGATGATACAATGCTTTGAAAGCTTGGTGGGTGGACTTTCATTCTCACCCAACTTCTGGTTTCTCAAATCTCTATTTATAGCCACTTGTCTATCACAATCACACCATGTACTTCACAAAATTCAGGAATGCTGATTCATGTGACCACATTGATAAAAGGACATGGAGACTTTGGGCTACCATTTTGTAATACACACCACTGATTGATGCTCAACAGATCAAAGTTAGTGCCACACCATCAATGGTAGGGTGGCCACCGACACAGTGCACAATCGATCATTTGAACACTTACGCTCAATTCCAAGATACTATTTCCATTTTTGCATTGCTTAGATTCTTTTCCAGAAAGTCTCTAAACTATTTTATATAAAGTCTCTCTTACGAGAACTTTAATTGATACACAGTGTTAATATAAGTTCATTTACAATCCTATAAAAATGTGCTCAAAGAATGAGTCTTGGCACACAATTTTTTGTTTTTTTTCTTCTTTTTTTTTCTGTCTTCTAAATATATTGTTATGTACATTTCAGTATGATGGTACTTCTTTTCCAAGTGCTTAGTGAAGATGAGATGAAATGAAAGTTGGTAACTTGCAATAGCAAGTCCTTATGATGGTCAAGGATATTCACAGCATAACCATATTTCATCAAACACCTTGACATATGACACACTTGCACAACTGAGGAGAAAGGCACTCCCTGACGTTACTTGGTTGAAGCAAAGGAAATGTTATCTTAGTTCAATCAGAATGCTAAATTGTGCCTGTTTCAATTCATTTAATATGTTGAAGAGAAAACAATTAAAATAATAAAACAACAAAATCAAGTGCTATAGTATGTTTACAACATATGGTATATTTATATTTCATCCTGTAGAATATATTTTATTGAAACCCTTCTATAAGGCACGTTTTTAGGTATGCTGACTTCTAAATAGTGCTTTGAAAACATGCCTAAAGTCCATGTTAAGGAAACAGATAAAGTAAAGTTTGTTTTGTTCAAGAAAAACTGATTTAACACACATTAAAATGTTTACTTTCTAGGTTATGAACACAGGTGTGAGAAGTTTAGGAAGCTATTTTTTTTAAAATAAAAAATACTGGCATCAAAGAAATAAAAGATTTTTACAAACTTAGTTTAATCTACGTACTTAGAACTAGTCAATGTATAGTGCCTGGCACAAGTATTAAACCCATCTCAGTCATGTCCCTTTTAGACATGAAAACATTTGAAAAATATATATTTTTAAATATTTTATTGGGATATTTACCGTTTGATTTACTCAACTTTTTAAAGGTGAAAATATTTTTTTGTGACACAGAAGTTAAAACACACGCACAAATGTTGGTTGTACAAGTATTTATCCCCTCACTTTAGTATGCTCTAGACTAGAGCATCAAATTGTCTTCAGAATTCATATGAAAAGTTACATAAAATTCCTTCTATGTCATATATTTTTACGGTTCACGGAAACATGTTGAAAACATATGTCCCAAATGAAGTTTGTCAAGAGACATGCTGGAGGTGCAGAAGATATGTCAATAAATTTCTCTCTGGTTTAATTAGATTAAAATTTTACTTTTGCCCTCAGAGCACACTATCATCATGCTGAAGTAGGTGGTGGTATCAACATGCTTTGGGGGATACAGCAAAAACAAAGAAATTGGTCAGGATTAATGACGAAGTGGATCAAGCCATGTAGAGGGCAATTTCGGAGTTGAAATATTCTCAGTTTGATTATCTAAGAATGATCAAAGCATTGAAATTTCCACTCAACACCAGCCACCGCGCAACATAATAAAGCCTAATCTATTCTATCTAAAAGATCAAGATGTACAAGGCTGGTAGACATCAACTCCAAAAGTGTCGTTGCTGAAATTGAAGCCAAATCTGGTTCTACCAAGTATTGCCTCAGAGGAAGGGAGTAGTTATACAACAAATGTATTTCTATTTTTAATTCAGATTTGTGTAAAAAATATATAATTTGAAACTTTTATGCTGGGTAAAACAATCTGTAAAAGTCTCAATAAAACATGTTTTAATTCCAACTTGTAATACAAATACATGTGGGGGTGAATGTAAAGCCCTCTGATGTACATTATAAGATTTCCAATTTCGTTACTGGAAAGAAATTTAAAAATTGCAGACTTTATAGTCTAAAACTGGGCTTCTGGCAACTCAGTGGAAGTTTAAGTAAATATGTTACTGATTACCAGGGAGGTCTGGAATTTTGCATCTCAAATAATTATACATTTCCCAAAACATTTACCTGTTTATTCTATGATCGAAGCTATAGATTGCTTCCACTGCTATTTATTTCCTGAAACTTTTTTAGGTTGTTCTGTTGGGTACAGAAAGCAATGGAATTGATCTCATTACCCAGATCATCGGATGTCTTTGATAGAGCTGAGTTCAAAAGAGGAATTGTAGAACGACACATTTCTTACATGAATACATCATCAAAGACTGTGTCCATATGACTGACTATCCTCTTAATGAAATGTTAAAAATGGAAAATAGGGTAAGTCAAATGCTATAAGTGGGAGGATTAAGATATATTCCTGCAAAAAATAATAACATTTTTAATGTTTGTAACCTTTCATGCTGCTGCTATTTGAAACTAATATACAGTTGCAAGAAAAAGTATGTGAACCCTTTGGAATGATATGGATTTTTGCACAAATTGGTCATAAAATGTGATCTGATCATCATCTAAGTCACAACAATAGACAGTCACAGTCTGCTTAAACTAATAACACACAAAGAATGAAATGTTGCCATGTTTTTATTGAACACACCATGTAAACATTCACAGTGCAGGTGGAAAAAGTATGTGAACCCCTAGACTAATGACATCTCCAAGAGCTAATTGGAGTGAGATGTCAGCCAACTGGAGTCCAATCAAGGAGATGAGATTGGAGGTGTTGGTTACAGCTGCCCTGCCCTATAAACAACACACACCAGTTCTGGGTTTGTTTTTCACAAGAAGCATTGCCTGATGTGAATGATGCCTCGCACAAAAGAGCTCTCAGAAGACCTACGATTAAGAATTGTTGTCTTGCATAAAGCTGGAAAGGGTTATAAAAGTATCTCCAAAAGCCTTGCTGTTCATCAGTCCACGGTAAGACATTTTGTCTATAAATGGAGAAAGTTCAGCACTGCTGCTACTCTCCCTAGGAGTGGCCGTCCTGTAAAGATGACTGCAAGAGCACGGCGCAGACTGCTCAATGAGGTGAAGAAGAATCCTAGAGTGTCAGCTAAAGACTTACAAAAGTCACTGGCAAATGCTAACATCCCTGTTAGCGAATCTACAATACGTAAAACACTAAACAAGAATGGATTTCATGGGAGGATACCACAGAGGAAGCCACTGCTGTCCAAACAAAACATTGCTGCACGTTTACAGTTTGCACAAGAGCACCTGGATGTTCCACAGCAGTACTGGCAAAATATTCAGAGTTGAGTTGTTTGGAAGAAACACACAACACTATTTGTGGCGGAAAAAAGGCACAGCACACCAACGTCAAAACCTCATCCCAACTGTGAAGTATGGTGGTGGGGGCATCATGGTTTGGGGCTGCTTTGCTGTGTCAGGGCCTGCATGGATTGCTATCATCGAAGGAAAAATGAATTCCCAAGTTTATCAAGACATTTTGGAGGAGAACTTAAGGCCATCTGTCTACCAGCTGAAGTTCAACAGAAGATGGGTGTTGCAACAGGACAATGACCCAAAGCATAGAAGTAAATCAACAACAGAATGGCTTAAACAGAAGAAAATACACCTTTTGAAGTGGCCCAGAGTCCTGACCTCAACCCGATTGAGATGCTGTGGCATGACCTCAAGAAAGTGATTCACACCAGTCATCCCAAGAATATTGCTGAACTGAAACAGTTCTGTAAAGAGGAATGGTCAAGAATTACTCCTGACTGTTGTGCACGTCTGATCTGCAACTACAGGAAACGTTTGGTTGAAGTTATTGCTGCCAAAGGAGGTTCAACCAGTTATTAAATCCAAGGGTTTACATACTTTTTCAACCTGCACTGTGAATGTTTACATGGTGTGTTCAATAAAAACATGGCAACATCATTCTTTGTGTGTTATTAGTTTAAGCAGACTGTGATTGTCTATTGTTGTGACTTAGATGATGATCAGATCACATTTTATGACCAATTTGTGCAGAAATCCATATCATCCCAAAGGGTTCACATACTTTTTCTTGCAACTGTATGGCCTAAAATTAAAAGGTTCTTCCTGATGCAGTGCTGCACAGTGTGCAACACTAACATTCAGTGTCTCCACCATCTTCTTAGAGACACTAAACTTTTCTCACAGAGATGCATTGATTAGATGCATATCTATGAGGAGATACTTATTGGCCAGGGTGGCATTTGGCTCTGCTGCTCAGCTTGCCTCCTTGGGTAAGTTCATCAGAATTGGCAATCTCAGACAATCCAATGCTTTCTTATGGGATGATGTCAGCCAAGGAGGCAGATCAGGAGCAGAGTTAGCACCAGCAGACAGGAATAAAGGTAAGATTTTACTAAATAGCCAGGGGGGATAAATAGTATTTTTTTTTAACACTATAGCATCAGGAATACATGTCTGTATTCCAGAAACTATAGTGTTCCTTTAAATGAAGGTCTCTGTTGACATTTTAATAACTAACAAATCTTTCACAAAAAATAAAGCTATTTAAGTCCAGATAAAGATTTTGTTAAAAAAATCAATCAAAACAAAATAAAATAAAACTACTTTATTCACTCAGAAGTATATGTATAGTTGAATGAACCAAATGTACACATGTAATCTTAAGAAAGATTTCTACATATGTGAGAGAATGATTACCTCTTTTCTAATCACCAACCACACTAGTGTGACATTTTTACCTTAATTTATGCGTTTTATATAGTGGTATTAAGAGAAAGTATATAAAAAGAATTCTTATTTTGTGGTTGTGTCTGTATCAAGAATATATATACATATATATATATATTTTTTTTATTATTATTATTATTATTATTATTAATTAAACCCAATCACAGCACAATCCACTCTTCTTTAACCTGAGGTATCTCAATTCTAAAAGGGTCATTACTTATATCGGATGCATTACGGATGAGGCTATTATTCACGGGTATACAGGAATGAAGAAAAGGGTATACAGGCTTCTCTTTGTAAATAAACATAAAAAAATATTCATGGTGAATATTTTACTAGGAGGTGCTATCCTTCAGTTTGATTTCAACTATGTGTACACCTGGAAACTTCAAACTGAGTAAAATGTATAAGCTTTGCAATGTAACGACTAGAGTACAATATTTAAATGTATCTGGTTTTGCCTGCACTGACAACGACAAGATGAAAATGATCAGATTATCCACTGGTTTATGGCAATACTTTACACACAAGAAAGCTCTGAAGGACCACATTGTTACTTGGTAACTTGTTATTGAGCCTCATCATTTTATATAATAATAGTTATAACAACATTATTTACTATAATTAGATATTGAATATGATATTATTAAAACAGTATTTACCAGGTGTGTTTGTTGATATAGCATTTATACAGGTTGGGATGGATGGATGGCTTGATGGATGATAAATGGACAGATGGAAGGAGGGATGGACAGCCAAAAAGGCAAATAAATGGAAGGATGGAAAGGTTGAATAAATGGACCAATATATAGATGGGTAGACAGACAGATGGATAAATGAAATTTATGAAAATAAATAATTTATATATATTCTATATAACCTTACTAGTCAGGAAAAGGCTGATTATCCCGAAATAAATCTAACTGCATTTAAATTCTGTCTATGCTACAGCAAATGTCTCCATTCACATAAAAGTCAGTTAAAAGAATGCATTTAAGAAAATGAAGGTGTAAGTGTAAAAATCGAAAATGAATTACGTAATCTACAAAATGTGGATCTTGATATTTAATCGGCTTTTCTCTCAGGCTATAAATAAACATTAAAAATTATAACGCCAAGCCTCTTCCTGTTCTCTTTACGCCTCCTCATATAAATAGGATTTAGTGAAACATGTGATGAGCCATCTTTGGTGAGTATAGTTGGGTTCTTGCCAAATATCCCATTTTACTTGGGTCAAACAACAATATAGGATATATATCATAAAGGGTTTATATAAAACTGTACAGGTGTTATTTTGTGGCTCATGCATAGCGTTTCTTAAAAGTACAATGCAAAAATACTACCTTGTTACAAGGCATTTGCCTGCACAAGAATTTCTGTAGAATTATGTTTTTAAATAGGGACGATTCTGCACTCTACGAACCAATCAAGCGGTAAATATGGATTTAGATACATGCAATTATGGATGCAACACACATCATGACTGATGTTAAAAATTCATGAATGTTAAACTCAGGGTTTCTGCCCATAAAGCACCCATGGGCAGTACTTCTGAGGTTGGGAGCATCAACGAAAGTGTTGAAGGGACACTATAGTCACCAAACAACTTTAGCTTAATGAAGCCATTTTTGTGTATAGGTTATGCACCTGCAGTCTCACTGCACAACTCTCTGCCATTTAGGAGTTAAATCACTTCTGTATCTTTTTATGCAGCCCTAGACTCGCCTCTTATGGCTGTAGCTCATGCAGCCTGCATAAAAAAAAAAATGGTTACATTTTCGATCATAAGTTTTTATCTCCTGCTTTGTTACTGGAACTTTTATCGCATACAGGAGACTCCTGCAGGTTCTAGCAAGCTATTAACAATGCAGGAGATAAGACATTTTTAAATTAAACAGACTGTGCAATAATGGAAGTGTAAACATAAGATCTCATCTTACAGGAAGTGTTTAGGAAGGCTGTGTAAGTCACATGCAGGGAGGTGTGACAAGCCCAAAAACAAAGTGAGTTAACTCCTAAATGGTAGATAATTGAGCTGTGAGACTGCAGGGGCATGATGCTATGTCTTGGTTCCTAACATGTCCCTTTAAGTTACTGTTAGCAATCAATGCCACACCTAAGTAATAATGGGTTTGGCATACCCAAAAGGGTGTTTTTCTTCAACCAATAAAAGTGCTAAACTGACTTTTTTTTTTACCAGGATCTGGACTAGTGACAGACGTGGAATGGGTGGATTTTTTCTCTCCCCCACTGGTTTTTATGGGAGAGAAAACGAATGGCTTCGAATAACATTTAACCCCCATTAACACCCTCTAGCGAGCATCATTGGATTAGGAGAGTCAGCTATATCCAGTAATGGCTGGTTGTTGTTTTTTTAGTTTTCTTTTCTGCTGTCGATGTATGGAGTTAAATTCATCAGCAGGAATACAACAGAAGCAAGCTGTTTGAAGTTTATATAAATTGTGGAATTAATGCAATGCAATTAAATAACACCACCACCCATCTGCATTATATTGTAGGCTATTTTGGGCAAAATGTTCTATTTATAACGCATTGCATGTTACAGTTTAATAATTTCACAAATGGTTTTTAGGATTGTACTCAAGGGTGCATTTTTCGTAACTGTGACTTATTGTTGTGAGTACAATAGGAACCATGCAGAGTCTATTTTAACTCCTTCTCCTCTGCATACATCATCAGAATGTGCGATGTTCTACAGGGCTGACAAGCCTACTATAATATCTATGTTTCCATTACAGGGCAAACTAAAATAGCAAGAACACTATAGAGATGCCTGCTGGATCTCTCACAATTTTCAGACATTTAATATATAATACACAGTGAACATTGTATCAAAAAGCTTGCAATCATTTTTTGTTTGATTAGAAAACATTGTTTCTACCTCTGCGGTAAAGGGGAATACTTTGTATTAATTCATTATGTTGGGGGCATTGCTAAATACAAAAAAGACAAACACCTGGGGCGTAAGCCAAATCAAAAAAGCTACACCTCTATTGCTCTACCTCTTTTCTGCTGCTCTTCTACCTTCCTTGCACTCTCTTAGCAAGTTAAAGGTACTCTTCTATTCATGTACAATGTTCTCTGCCATTTATTGGTGTTTTTACGGGGGGGGGGGGGGCAATGCCTTGCCTACCGTGTGCCATCCTATCAAACTGCTACCACTTTAAGACCATCAGTTTTTTTCTCATCTAGATTGAGACCTGGCAGCTCATGTACTCCCTGCCATGTCTATTCACAAACAGGAATATACATAGGACACAAGGTCATGCATTTAGACTGGAAGAAAGAAGATTTAGTCTAAGGCAAAGGAAAGTTTTTTTTTACCGTAAGAACAATAAGGATGTGGAATTATCTGCCTAAAGAAATGGTTTTATTAGAGTCCGTGCAGATGTTTAAACAGCAACTAGATGCATACTTGCAAATACATAATATTCAATTATATAATTTTTCAACTGTAGGGTAATAGCTTTTTGATCCAAGGATAAATCTGACTGCCATTCAGGGGTCAAGATGGAATTTGTATTTTAGTTTTTTGCTAAATTGGAAGTGCTTCAAACTGGGGGGTTTTGCCTTCATTTGGATCAACAGCAAAAATCATATGTGAGGAAGGTTGAACTTGATGGACACATGTATCTTCAGCCTACGTAACTACGTCTCTTTATCAGTTTCCTAGAGGGGGTGCAATGTGTGGAATGAGACAGAAATCACATCCCTTTCTCTCTACACATCCAGAAAGCTCCTACTACGTGTCAGGTATGGGGAGGGGCAGGATGCCTGAAGGAGGAAACAGCTATGTGATGGCTTTAATGGCAAACTGCTGGCAGGATAGGGAGGGAGCTGCACCCATTACAGCCCCTATACTTAATACAGTCCATTGCACCCACTAAACCCACTTACAGTCAATTGCACCCACTACTACCTTTGTTACCCCCTGAAGCCACCAAAGCCCCCATTACTCTCTGCACCATCTACAGCACCTAACCTTCCTCTATACCGACTACAGACCTGCAACTACTACTCATATGACTTTGTGATGGAAATTATTAGTGCCCCCCCCTGTTTTGACTGTGGCATCTTCATGCCCCACCCCCCATGTAGTCCTAGAGTTGCCACTGCTGATATTGTCTCTTTTCAGTCTACGATTTCCTTTCCATCTTCTCACCATCTCTCTTACATCCTAACTCCCACCCATTTGATCTGCTCTTCCATGTTCCCTCACTATTTTTTTCCCAATCACTTTCTGCACATCTCTTGACTACCCCATGATCTTCGTTTCATCCCTCTTCCCACATCTTGCTCTTCTGCCTTCACAGCTCTGTCAGTCTCCCTTCTGAACTCTCTCCTTGCTCCCCAGCCCCTCATCTCTTATCATTTATTTCCCTCCCTATATTTAAATCATTTAAAAAATATATTTTCCAAAATTCCCATGAGTTTTCTTTCCTTTTTCATTCAGTCATGTTCCGTGTCTCCCTTTATGCACATATACACTAGATTTACACATATTCATATAAATACACACACGCACGCTCTACCTCACTCTAATATACACATCGTCACCTGTGCAAGACCTCCGTACATGCACTAACAATTAGTATATGTACCTCATCTATGTACAGTGGGAACTAATCTCATCGAAGTCAGTGTGCAATGCAGTTCCATAACAGGTCGTGTCCAAAACCAACGGATGGTGAAACACTACAACACGCATTGACCAGTGTGGATTTCAAAATTATGTAGTTGAAGAAATCATGGACTAAACAACCTCACATTTTTGGCTTTGGCCCCTATAGCCCCCTTTCCCGCAATGCCTATTCCTAAAGTTATCACTTTATTCTAGGTTAGGCATTGCAGAGCTAAAACTCCCATGATACTTTGCCAACCTTAGAAGAAATAAAACAATGCGATTGGCAATTCCACAACACCTGGAGATTTACCTTTTCAACACATCTGTTCTAGATAGTGAAAAAAATTTCAAAAACTTGGGTCAGCTTAGTCTCATCTTAGAGGAACACTCCAGACACATAAAGCACTTTAGCTTGCTACAGAGCTTCATGTGTCTGGAGTTTGTCATATTAAAAAGTGCAGATTTCAATAGATCTTTAATTGAGCTTGTGCTAATATATTAAATAAACATTAAAAATAAAAGCTAGTGCTAGAGTGAGATAGCTCAGGGGTTATATGAGAGCACCTCAGGGGTGCATTAGTCATGAGCAGTGCAGGAGGGTCTTTCTGGAACGGTTGTCAATCAGCACATTGCGCTAAAAAAATAACTCAAAAAGACATGTCAACACTATGGCATTATTCCCTCTCATTCTGATTCCATATCTCAGCATACAGGAAGGTATGTTAATAATTGTAGTTGAATATATGTGGATGAGATTGTAAAGTCTTTTAGGGGAAAAAAAGGAAAAATAAAGAAATATATATCTAAACACAATTATTAATATATATTTTCAGATAATTAATAATGTATCATTTAACATGTTATAATATCCATTCAGGTGCCATATGGTACAAAAGCAGCCATATTTCTCACATTTTCAGAATAATAATCTGAAATACAAGTAATGTTCTTTATTTACAGAATGTAAAAAAATAGTTCATTCTATACCAAGAAATACTTAAAACTTATCAAGGTTAGCACAGTTATTAAAAATAATAGATCAAGACCAGTTTGGACCATCTGTGTCTATCCATTTTTTCTGATAAAATGAGCATCATCCTCGATCAGGTGGGGGGGATGATGGTGTTTGTAGTACAACCACAATGGAGAAGTACAGAGTGAGCATTCTTGGTCTGTGGTCTAATATAGCAGCAACACAGGTGTATAATGTACAGCTATTCAATAAATGTCACAGTGATGGCTAAACCTTTGGCATTCTGAAAGGTTGTATGTGCGTCATGGGAAATGTAGTCCATAACAGCCAGTATGTCAAAGGTTACCCATCAACAACTTATACAAAAGTAATGCCTATGTGGAATGCCACAAAAATGTGATACATGTCACCTAGACATTATGCTAAACTAAGGAAAGTGCATTCCATATTGTGTCATATCTAGACTAATAAATTATATATTAACAGTTAACGTCCAAATATAGCATCATTGTAGGCAGATATAAAACCGTAAATACAATATATCAATTTACCCCTCAAAGGGTCAATAATGCCTTTTTATAAATGGCTTTTATATAACAGCACACTAGAAGTACAAATTTAAATATATACTGTATGTAAAATGACGATATCTCTGTTATGGGGTGTTTGTTGCACAAAGACCTACATGTTTCCTGCTTGGGTTTTTTTCAGCCAATCAGAACACAGGAGGAATTGAAATCCGGGTCAGTGACCAGAAATCCAGTATCTGAAAATTGAGTAATGGCACCCCCCAGTGAACTTTACCCTTTAAACTTCCTTGAACAATAAATGTAAATACAAGTATGTTTTGTGACTTTTAGACACATTTTGCAATGCCTGTAAAAGTTCTGTTCTACATTAGGTGAACTTAAAATTTAAAATATATATATATATTTTATTCTTTTAAATCCAAAATTGGCTAGCAATTTTTAATAGATAAAAAAAGCATACATATTGCATAAATAATATTACATAAATATTGTTTAAACCAAATAAATAGTGATTCGAATTGTAGGCTTTATTTACTAAACAGTAAGTCACGGTAAGCTGGCAATCAAAGTGCAAAATGTAGGTTGAATATATTCAATGTGTACAATAAAATATATAACACAGGCTGGGAGAATATGTTTCCAATCTCCCAGTTTTTGCTGTAATTTTCTAATTTGATTAGGATTTATCACAAATCACTGTTTAGTGAATAAAACACATTAGCAAAAAAAAGAAAGGATAGCAGCATCAAATAAAACAAATGGATATGTAATATTTCCCTCTAACATCATGTATATTAAGCAGGTCTGTAGAATGTGACCTCAAACAATCCAAATAATTATGAAGAACTATGTGAAATCCTGCCTATTATTAACTCAAACATGTAGAAATTAAAATATACCCCAAAATCAGACAACTCAATAGTGGGCATATAAATCGGCATCTGACATCAATGGTTTATAAATTTGGGTCCTTTAAAATGCTATTTGATTTAAAATACCCATTCAGGCGTATTCACTAAAGTGTGAATCTCTTGAAATTTAAATTTAATTTAATATTTTAGACCTGAATAGGTGAACTGGAAATCAGTTTTGATAATCCGATCTAAAATTGATTTGAATTCCAGCAACTCACATTATAGTGAATTCTCATATCTAATGCCGTGAATTAAGTGTACTTTTTTAACATTTTTTTTTCTTTTACATTATTTTCCTTTTGCCTATTATTAGTTGCCCGGTGACAGCTTTTGTTCCCTTTCTATATTGTATTTTTCATGTTTCTGTATTCATTTTATTTTTTCTTACTGTTCCGTTCTGTGTATTATATTCACCATATTTATTTGCATACTTCTTGGCAGATATGTACCTACTGTTGCATGACTAATGGTGTTTTATATACCATAGCGCTACAGCTGTCAGTTTACAGCTGTTTCATGCCTGATTCAAGGACATGATTCAAGCATATCATTAATTTCATGTTGTGTTGTGTTTGTTTTAACTCTGTCTTTATTCTGTTATATATGCAGGAGTGGGTTTATTAAATGAATACTGAAGTCCCATATGATCTCATATACCTTGCACTGGCTTTGTTGCATAACGCTCCCTCTCTCCCTACATCCTATGTAGATACAGTTAACTGTAGAAATGACAGTATGTCCACATCCCACGCTGTGACATTACTGGTGAAGCAACGCAGTACAACTCCTTACTGACTTGTATAAGTATGTATAATATTGTATAAGTAACTTCAATGATCTCATACTATTTTGTACATGCATAATAACACAATCGCATGTATGTTTGACATTTAGTAACGTCATTCAATACAAAAAGTAGACTTCAGGAAGTTACACAGCAGCTGCTAATAATTTCCTGAGTAGGTTCATTCATGTATTTTTATGAATGGAACTACTGCAACAGTTGGACAGCACACCTTATGAACCAATGCGTTTAATAAATTTGGCAGATAAATAGTAGAGGCCGTGGGGACAATTTTAGAGATTTTTCTTTTTAAATCTAATTGCCAATCTTACCTTCTCAGTTACTTTCATTGAATATAGAATGTAAACAGTAAAAAAAAATAGAAAATAGAAATTCTATTTGCCAGTTGTTTTTGTTGAATAAATAACTGCTATTAATCAGTTAACTGCATATTATGTAATTTTATAAACATGAAAGTCACCAGTCATTTTAGCTGTGATACATTTTTCCATTACTGTAGGGCATCTAACATTAGCAAATTACTCAATAAGCATTAGACTACCACCTACACAACCTAGCAAGTCCCCCAAAAATACTGAATATACATTATGGGTCTGATGTTGGCATGACAGTAACAGACCATTGATAAAATGTAGTTGTGCTCATTTGCATATGGGGGCACTATAGTGAACATTATAGGAAACTTTTGTAAGTAATTAAAAACTATCCCATTCAACTTTTTGTTATTTTTAACTTTTTAAACAATGACGTTACCAAACATCAGAAAGTCTCTTATGAAAATTAACCTCCTTAAATTGCTTTAAAATCTTTAAATTGCACACAAAAAAGTGCCAATACTTCATAGCTAATAACTTTAAATAAATAATATTTTCAAACGCACTTGTAACTCAACCAATTTAAGTTTTTAATTATCTCCAAACTGCCGTAAGAAAATTTTAAATAAAACCATGATAGATCACCTTTAATCTACTTGTGTATTCTCTTCTACCATTCCTTAATTATAACTAATTTCTAAGAGTAAATTAAATCAAGGTAAGGGAACATTAAAAATATATGTTTCTTGCTCCGACAAAAAGATTTTAAAAATCCCTGTGCGGTATGTGTGAAATTTGCCTTTTTGCCATTTCTTTTTGTGGTAAAATATGCACAATTGTCCACATGAAAGATTAAAATTTAGGTTTTACAAAAAGTTATTGTAACTTTTAATGTAAAGATAACAATGCATGTGTATCAGTGTATGTTTGTAGTGTTGAGTGTCGTAGTGTGTAGGAGTGTATCTATTACAGTGTGTGTGTGTGTATCTGCCATGAATTATACTGTCCTCACTCTACCTCCAGAGTCTGTGATTGCTGAGCTAATTCTGAGGGGATTACTGCTCACTCAGATTTAACTTAACGATATACATACACAGCAGCCTTGATTTAGACACCACAGGAGGCCAGGGTGAGGTCGCTCTTAACAGACAGAGTAGTCACCTGTAGCCTCCCCTATTAGACATGCACCTGTATCAAAAGCATACTCTACCTTCTCTAGATAATTAAAGATCTGGCTCTGACGCCACAATATTGATTTCAATAATAAATCACCACTATCCCCACTATGTTTGCCAATTTGCCAAAAAATCTACTAAATCAATTGTTTTCATTTTTTCCCCCACAAAAGATATCAGACAAATTTTTATCTTTTCAAAATGTCTCCAAGGATATTGAAAGGCACCCATAGACACAGATGCTATGAGCACACCAACAAGTTAATTATACTCATATCATAAGATGAGTATGAGTAATTGAGAGTTATGGCAAGCCTTTTGAAAAGCTGCCTGCCTCTCCTGGCACTCTAAGAAGAAATAGAGAGCCAAACACATCTATAGTCCCACATGAAATATTAAGGTCTGAGGATACATGGGAAACAGGAAATGTGAGAATTTGGTACAAAATAAACGTACCACGGTAATGGTAACATTTGTTGAATGTTCCAAAGGTACTAATCTAAAATTCTGAATAAACTTTTTCAAAAGTCTGAAATGCCTATATCTTAATATGTTTTATATCAAACAGCACACTGAGATGTGATCACATGCACATTATATTTTAATTAAATCATTTGTTGCATTTGACTTCAGCATGAATATCTACATTTTATGGAAAGCAGTAAAAAAATGCCACAGGAAAAAAAAATAATTGCATTTTTTTTCCTCAAAATAAATATACATTCTGATTGGCTAATTAGCGCTTCCTTCCATCCAGTCAAAAATCCAATCAAATGAAATTCATATCTTGACCAGTGAGCAGAAAACGCTCAAATAAGAAATAAGCCCTAGTCTGCTATAAAAATAATATTTTCTGGAGGAATAAAAGTAAAAATAGATAAGTTATATAACTTTCACACATGTAGTAAACCACTCTACTCTCGTCTATGTAGAATAACATTTAAACAAGTATTGCCACGCTTTTATGAAATTTTAAATCCATCATCATAATCTGGCCCTTCAAAAAGATGAAAAACACCGCTACCTCTTCTTTGCATGGATATGAACATTATTTCTCAATAAATGTGGTGAAAACAAGCTGCAATTCTACGTTTCTATCTAAAACTGCCAATGTTTCTACATTTGGGCTTGAAATTCAACATTCCTTAGACCTCAAGGGGATGCTATAATGACTAGACACAGTCTTGTTTTGTAGTACTACTAAATGTAGCTTTTAATTTCGTCAGTCAACCAGTTATTTTATCTTCTATTCCTAGTAGTATACCTCCTTTGTCAAGTTCCTCCGCACAGGAAACATTTTACTAAAATGGCCAATGGAAATGACCACATCACTGTGAAATGTCATACACATCATTTGCGAATGGCCAGCAGTGCATCAATTTACATGGACATCGGAGGAGTTTCAGAGTGATTCAGTATATCTTTTATATCTGAGCAATTCACACGTGTATGAATATAGTAAGTGTAAAACTAAGCACGGATGTCAGGCATCACTTTAAAAAGGAACTGTGACTTTGATCATATTAGCGCAACCTAAATAGCTAACTAAAAGTAAAGAATGTACGCATATAGAATATTTCTGTTAGATGCCTGAGCACACATGTGCATATCTGAGGCATTGTGGGACAGGGGGAGACGCGGCAACACAGAAGTACAACAGAGGTAAGTTCTTCAGTTACTTCTACTGCGTTATTCACCCCAGTAAATAATGTTTACTGGGGTCAAAATATAAGAAACTGTCACTTCTATGGAGATTTCCTCTTTAAAGGGCAACTCCAAGGATCACAGCCACTAAAGCACACTGCAGTAGTTATGGTGCCATCCCTTCCCCCTAATGAAAGTAGTCATACCATTTGCTGACATTTTGATTTCCTACCTGGGGTATGTTGAGCATTTACTCCACTAAGAGGCAGAAACTCCAGCTGATTACTCTCAGCCAACAAGCTTAGAAATGAACTACCGGCCATAGCTCAAAGCAAATCATTAGCAAACCATTTGGCCACTTACGGTTTGAGGGGGGGAGGGAGTGCCAGGGCTGTTCTGACATCATCACAACACTGCTTGGAGTGTTCCTTTAAAGACTTTATAGGGGTAATATGCTTAGTTAGCATCTACAAAGCCCACTTTTCACTGATGAACTTAGTATTCTATGCGCTTTATTCACTAATTGTAGTGAATTACAATATTTTAAGGACAACTTTCTTCAAATATTCTTTTTTTTTTTTTTAAGTTAATTATATTTAAAGGGACACTCCAGGCACCCAGACCACTTCTGCACATTGGAGTGGTCTGGGTGCCAACTCCCACTACTCTTAACCCTGCAAGTGTAATTATTGCAGTTTTTTTATAAACTGCAATAATTACCTTGCAGGGTTAACTCCACCTCTAGTGGCTGTCTACTAGGCAGCAACTAGAAGGCACTTCTGTGTCCCTAGCACAGGGAACCTGTGCTAGAGCGTCGCTGGACATCCTCATGCTGTGTGAGGACCTCAAGCGTCGCTCATTTCCCCATAGGAAAGCATTGAGAAGCATTTTCAATGCTTTCCTATGGGGAACTCTAATGTGCATGCGTGTCATTGCCGCGCATGCGCATTAGGTCTCCCCGGCCAGTGGGCGCGATCAGTCTCGCCCACCCGCCGACGCAATCACTGGGAGGAGTGGCGGCAGAGGAAGAAGCAGCAACGTGGGACATCGTCACTGCCGCTGGTAATTTACTGAAGGGGTTTTAAACCCTTCAGCAACCGGGGATATGCCGGGCGGGAGGGACAGGGGACCTGCAGAGCCAGGAAAACGGATTGTTTTCCTGGCACTGCAGTTTCCCTTTAACAAAACCTAATAATGTTTTTTTCAAATTTTGTAGATCTATTTATTTATTATTTTTTTGAGAAAATTTCACTTTTTATCTGCCATGTTGAGTCCGAGACTACTGTTTGTTACATGACCCACTACTGCCTAACTATACTTACCTGCTGCTGGAATTGCTTTAAGGGAGGCAACTCTGGCTAAGCAGCAGTTGTTCAGATAACCAACATAGCTGGTCAGCCAGATAAAAAAGTTAAATTTTTTCTCAAAAATAAGGAACAATCAATATATATCATTAAAAAAAATCATTGTTTTTAATGATCAGTAATACAATTTTAAAAATGAGAATTGAAAATTTGATAAACGGTTGTCCTTTAATTTAAATAGCTAAACTGTGTTTCTAGTTTGTATTCGAAATTCAGATTATATCCAAATCAGTCTTTTTTGCCTAAACTTGCTATTTTTTTTTAATTTACTATATATACTCCCCCATCTCCCAGATGTACCTAGTTGTAAATCTCAAATATATTTATTTTACTAAAAAGTATTCTATTTCTCACCGATATATATATACATATATATATATCACTTTGTTTTCTGGTTTTACAGGAATGTAATTATGCAATTATTATTATTTTTTACAATTTTGTACAATTTTGTTAATGAAAATACAACATTAAAATGCCAGTTTAATGTCAAGCAAAAGCAATTTCCGCATGGAGGCTTTATAGTAACCATCACACTGAAAACATTAGTTGCATTTTTAGAAAATTCAAAGCAGACACCAAAAATCCCAACATTTCTATACACTATCATGTGGAAGACTTGTTTTATTTTTATTTTATTATAGATATTTTCTTTTATATGTGTAACATGACATTTCCGCTTTCCGCGTAATGGAAATAAAAAAAAATGGTGAAATAGTAATTGTTAAAATTCTTAGCCCTTGAGACAGGATATTGGGCTATTTGAGGGGAGGAGAGTAGAACATTCTTATAGTTACATAGTACCAAAATATTCAAATCCCTGACATCTTAACAACTGGAGGGTTGTAAAATGTGAATCTTCCATTCTCCCAGTCAGAGAAGGCTATACAAATGAGTGAGGTTATACATGACACAGCAGCTTGTGGCTAACATATATGCAATTGTTAGCCCCATGGGATGGTGTTAAAGTGAATTTGATTTTTGTATTTTTATTTCATCCGAAGCTTAAAATAATCTATAGGAACATAACACAATTGTTTTGCACCTTGGTAACATACTGTAAATTATTTTCTATGCCCTAAACTTAAGACATAATCTGAGTCAGATGTAAATAACTGTAAATAATTTCATTCATATTATTATTTTTCCCCGAAAAAATAGACTTTTTTTATTGAGGTTGAAAACCTATGAGAAGATGCCACAAATAAGTCTTAAATTTAGTATTTCATTTAAAATAATGTAGTATACTCTAGAAGTTTTTTTTACAGCTAACACTCGTTCCATCAGCTTTGGTAGCTTGTCAAGATTCAAAAATCCATTAATTTCCTGTGTAAAGAACCTTGACATGCAAATTGCTTCTGCAGCCACAATGAAGCGTCATGGCTTTTTTTCCTGCCGTTTTAAGAGAGATACTTTAAGAAGTTAACGGAATGCAGAAAAATTGAATTTGATTGCAATTTCCTGTGAGTGTTCTAGTATCAAGCACTTTGTAAGGTTAAGCACAAGGTGGAACCAATCTTTGACTACTGGAGTTTGTTAACTCTTAACAATGCTGTCCCTTTGTATTTCTTAATCTTGGTTTTATTCTTCTGCTGATGTTATACATCTGATGATGGTGCACGTATGGAAACCTTAAATCAGATTAAAGTCTCAAAAGCATTCCCCTGACTAGTATCAAAACAGCATTGGTGAACAAGAAAATTAATCTAGGGTGTTTTTAAAATGATGGGTGCAAATGTATTTCTGAATAGTTCTAAAGAGTTCTTCGTCCCAACTCTACCTTGTTCCAATAATTTTATATCTGGAAATAACTAATGCATATAGAAACGAAGGAGGAGTACACACAATATAATAAAATGTAAGGCTATAAATTTCTTTGCCAGAAGATGTTCTCTGATATTTTGTTCTTCTGGAACATGATGACCACACTTCAAAGAAAAATGATTGAGTGCAGAGTAAATTAAACTATGATAATGTTGTGTCTGAGTTTACAGGAACCTGGGGTTCTCAGTCACAACAGCACAGTGGTCATTCGGCTTTGGCTGAAGAGAGGAGAGAGTGCAGTCCATACTACAAGTATAAAAATGACCTTCAACGCTGTTACAGAACACGAACTGCAATTTACACAAGCTGTACTCAATGTTTATGTCCGCAGCTTTCTGGCAACATGTGCTTTATGGTTCTTGGCGTCAAACCATATGTCTTTATATCCAATTCCATGTGGGCAACAACACCTTGACTGAATGGTCAAATCTAACTACAAAAATATCCTTTACTGTAATCTCCATTTCTGTAGCAGTAATTACTGAATTACTATGCCTCAAAACCATTGCTCTTATGATCGAACCTATCTGAGACCCCTGATAATCTGTCTCAATACCCAGCAAAGAATAAATCCCAACACTAATGTAAATGTAAAAATATGCTGAATCTTATAATTTAGCAGACCTATTGCTACAGACATCTGTGAACAGGCTGCAAGGCATCCTATGGAAAAATAATGCTTCTTAAACCAGGGTCATATTATTAAACCCCTAGCGTAACAGTTTAGACATATAATGCCACTCCCACTGTGATGTGCAACCAGTGTCTTCTAATCTGTTGGCAGTCAACCAGACATATCATCCACAGATGCCTATAGGAAGATAGAACTTGCAGAACACCAGCAGATTAGGACACCTATGTTGTTCTGCAATGCAGTAATCAAATGCAATTTCACCCACAGACAGTGAAGGGATGACAATGATGTTGATGATGATCACTAAAAATCCAATATTCATTTTTGGTCACATATTTAACTGTGATGTGAATATTTCCTTTCTGAGCTTGCACGCATCCCATCATCATTCAACTGGCAGCTTTCCTCACATATATCTCTGTTTTGTTGACCCTTCTCCCCAAAATAGCTGCATTTCATTCATTTAATTTGGCACATCTTCTCCCCACCAGCGCATTTTACTTTTTTATGTTTATTATTGTCTATGACATTACTACATTCTATGTAGACTGTATCTATGGAGAAATGCATGGTGAAAAGGGAGCACTTTACCATTAAAGTTAATTCTTTTTGCTCCAGTGCCTCCAGCTACTGACTTGTTGATGACTCCCGAAAGAACCCCTCATTGCCCATTGCCCAAAAACTGTAAGAAGCAGCTGGTGAATCAATCATTTCATGAAAATCCTGTGCAGTTTTGTTAAATATATATATGTGAATATACATATATCTATATATCTATATAGATATAGATATATTTAAAATCTATATAGGTTTTTATGATTTTCCATTTCTTAATGTTTTTTTTTTCTTTTTGCCTCATAGTACATTCAAATATGCCTGCCTTGGGAATCTGGAAATGGATGGATGCAAAGATGTACGAATTAATCAAATTACTTTTCAAATCACCTCTCCAAGAAGAATTTCAGAGCACGGTCAATGTTCATTCGATGACCGACCCTGGTCACTCCCAGATCAATGTAATCCTCCTTGGTTAATGAAGGTAAGTGGCTACCATCAATTTCATTGTCTAGGAAATGTTCTCGGTGCTCCCCAAGGTTTAAGTAGTCCAACCAATCAGCCACATCATATTTTGTCCAAAAGTGAAGAGGTTTAGAGGCAAAGGGCTTCTCTGTAGGTGGTAGGATGAAGTGTGTAGGGGATAATGACCGACTGCCTGTTTGGAAGCTGGGAAAAGAGTCACCTCCTGCTGTTGGAGAACCTCTCAGGTCAAAGACCCCCGTGTAGACAGGGGCTGAAGGCAGGATAGGGAGGGATGAAGGACGCGGAGTTGGGCTTATTTTGTGCTCCGTTGGCAAAGCTGAAGGACTTGGTGCTCGTCGAAGAGTCGGTCGGATGTCAAAATCCACACTTTTAGGGTGCTTTGGAACAGGCTGGGGAGACTTGGGCCAGTTATGAAACAAGCTGCTCACAGGTTTTGAAGAAATCAAGGAAGCTGCCGTATCATCAACTATCCTATAAAAGAAGACCAAAACTGGTGAATCTAAATTTACAGTAAGCAGTCCCCATCCCCTTCTCGAACAGCAAACCAGGTATCTTTTTTTAATTCATGGCTTCTGTGGAATGTACAGACCTTGAACTAGATTCATTGGAAAGTATCTCATTCAGGTGTGCATGTGGATTAATTTAAAGAGACTCTCCAGTGCCAGGAAAACAAACCGTTTTCCTGGCACTGCTAGTCCCCTCTCCCTCCCACCTCCCATCGAAGGTTGCTGAGGGGGTTAAAACCCCTTCATTGACATACCTGTATCCAGCGCCGATGTCCCTCGGCGTTGGGACAGGCTCCGCCAACTCTCATCCCTCGCCGGCGGGGGAGACCTAAGGTGCATGCGTGGCAATTGCCGCACGCGCGCATTACACCGCCCCATAGGAAAGCATTATTCAATGCTTTCCTATGGGGATTCCGGCGATGCTGGAGGTCCTCATGCATTGCGTGAGGACGTCCAGCATCTCTTAAAACACTAAAAGTGTTTTAAGAACCCAGAAGCTCCTCTAGTGGCTGTCTCATAGAGAGCCACTAGAGGAGAACTTAACCATGTTAGGCAATTAGTGTAATTTGTGAAAAACTATACTAATTACACTTGCAGGGTTAAGGGTAGTTGGAGTTGGCACCCAGACCACTCCAATGGGCAGGAGTGGTCTGGGTGCCTGGAGTGTCCCTTTAAATATTTTTTTTTTAAAAACCTCAACCATCTTGATGATCATTTCTGTTTATAAAACTTGATAAAATAGTTGAACAATTTTTTTAACATATGTATTTTACCAAGTGAACACTTATAACATACATACAAAAAATAAAAGTGAAATGATTTGATCTAGTTATAAACATCAAGTTAATCATGAGCTATTTCAAACTGGTAGATTCGTGCAGGTAAAAATATTTTTTTATTTAATTAAAGCATTCAGTTAAATGGGAAGATACAAAATCTTATCACCAAAGGCAGCAACAAAACAAAAGTATTTATTTATAAAATAGTGAACTGTATCTGCAGTGGTTATGTTGTTTTTAGGTTGATCACAAATGTGGTCTCGTGAAGTCTGCTAGAAAAGTGAATGAGTGCTGATAATTAGACTTAGTAATGGCTCAAGCCTTTCTTATGTTTAATTTATGCATTTTAAATTATCTGATATATAAGAATAAAATGATTGCAATGATGTTGATAGTAATTGCAACCTTTCATTCTTGGTAGATGACAGCTCTCTGCAGCAACCAGGGTGGTTTATTGACTGGGAAGTGTGGAGAATACACAGGTATTTAAATTATTTACATTTTGGACTATAATTAGTGCATTTAATGAAATTCTCTATTTAGTCAATACAAATAAACCCATAACTTTCAAAAATAAGTCAAATCTTAACTGAACAAAAGAAATGTACAACTTAGCTTAAACTTTTTTGACCTCTTTGATCTACATTTACAAAAGGTACATTTGTATATCTGGACATGCCTATTTATTTAGTAGCAGCTTACATCAGGGTTGACAAATTTGTTTGGAATCTAGGAGCCAGTTAAATAAGTTAGGAGCCAGTCATTTTCAACGAGAAAATGCAATACTTAAAGGGACACTATGGTCACCAGAACCACTACAGCTTGATGTAGTTGTTCTGATGTCTAAGGCCTGTCCCTGCAGGCATTTTGTGTAAACACTGCCTTTTCTGTGAAAAGGCAGAATTTACATTGCTGCTTAGTAACACCTCTAATGACAGTCACTCAGACGGTCACTAGAGAGTTCTGGGTCACTGCTGCACCATGTGCAGCACACAGGTTCAGTATCTCCAAGCTCTGCATTGGCACACACACACACACACTCGACAGACACACACACACACACACTCTTGACAGACTCACTCGCACACACACACAGTCTCTTGACAGGCTCACACACTGTTACGCTCACAACAGGCTTGCACGCACACACACACACACACACACACACATATAGGCATTCACACACACATACACACACTCTGACAGGCTCACACACACACACACACACTCTGACAGGCTCAAACACACACACACACACACACACACATTGACAGGTTTTCACACACACACACACACTGACAGGCTCACACACACACACACTCTGACAGGCACACACACTCTGACAGCTTCACACACACACACACTGACAGGCTCTTTCTCACACACACTCTGACAGGCTCTTTCTCACACACACTCTGACAAGCTCTTTCACACTCACACACACACACACACACTGACAGGCTCTTTCTCGCACACACTCTGACAGGCTCTTTCTCACACACACACTAACAGGCTCTTTCTCACACACACACTCTGACAGGCTCTTTCTCACACACACACACACTCTGACGGGCTCTTTCTCACACACATAGTTTTGTGTTAATTGAAACCCACTCAGCCTCCCACGGGCAGCCGCCTCCTCCATGCTCCTCAGGGTGGCCGCCCACCCACCTCCATGCTCCCACGGGCGGCCGCCTGCCCACCTCCATGCTCCCACGGGCGGCTACCAGCCCACCTCCATGCTCCCCCGGGCCGCCCGCCCACCTCCCACAGCCGTCTGAAATATCTGCCACATATGAGCTGGTCCATCCCAGGCGCCACGGTGAAATTTTTAGTCGCCATGGTGACCTGGCGCCTGGGATTTGTCGAGCCCTGGCTTACATGTATGTGTCAATTTTCTTTGAAAGAGTAATATAATGCTAGGAATACAAACGTATTCCTAACGATATAGTACTGGTCTACCTATTTAGATTGAGGATCACCTCTTCCCGGAATGAAGTAAGAAGGAGGTTTTACTTACCTCTACTCACTGGATGAGTCTGTACTGCCTACCTGGCTGTGATCGTCATTCGTGATGATCGCAACCAATCCAATGCATTACCATAGGGAAGCATTGTGAGGCTAATGTGCATGCGTGACAAATCTGCGCTAATCAGCATTTCCTAATAGAACCTAAACCTGCAAAACCACATGCTGCATGCCCCAGAACCACTACATTATGCTGTAGTGATTCTGGTGACTGTAGTGAGGGATACTATATTTCTTGCAAGTTCTATCTATCTTGAGATATGTTTTCCTGGTTGTCAAAAAACATAGTGTGTGTGTGTGTGTGTGTGTGTGTGTTTCAGTATAACATATTATATATTTTTAAATACCTCGGAACAGGCAGCAAAACAGATGATACACCTATACTCTATCAAAATAATATTGGCTCAATTAAAAATCTAGTCCAGATAAAATTATACAATTACCTGTGCCTCTGCAGAGATGTTGGTCTTTCTGATGTAAAAGACACTGCTGACTCTGGGGGCCTAGACCACGACACACCACTGATATGCTGGAGTTTTGAGCTCAGTTCAGTGATCATGTTGGCTTTTACTGTAGAGGCAGGTGAGGTTTTTTCCTGGGAGTAATCTTCCCAAGGAAGAGTGGGAGATTTCCGATGAGCTTCCTTGGCTGCCTCTGATGTTGCACTGAATGATGGCCCTTGGGATGGTGTCAGAGTAAAGACGTTTTCTGTACAAGGAGCTATGGAAATGGTGGTGCTTGTGGCAGTAATGGGATCCCTGAGTAATCCAGGGGCTCTACTTGGAAATGTCCGGGATCTAATCTTATTTTGGTGGACAGCCTTATCAGCACCAAATGCTTGCCCATCCAGATAAGTTATGTAGGTGTCCAGAAGTTCTGTTCCTTCTGTTGATAGGCCGGACATGCTGGACAATGTAGAGACACTGCTGATCGTCTCCAGGTGGTGGTCACTGCTGCTTCGACTGTCAATCTCCTCAATTCCAGAATCAGTCACAGTCTCTATTGTGTCTGAAGCTGGAATTTGGATTGATGAAACAACAGATGAAAAATTTACATGAGGTTCTTTAAGTTCTGGTGTCCCCTGGGTTAAGTTCGCTACTTCACTGTCATAAGAAGTGAGACTAGAGGTTGTAGAGTCTAAAGCAGGAGTGTTATTAGCATCAGGAGGTGGTGGGGGCACAGGAGGTGGGAGGGTGGATGACCCACCTGTTGCACCTGGAGGAGATTCAGGTTTGTCAAAACTGTTTGAAAACTCTAAGGGTGGAGGAAGGGGCTCAGTAAAAAGAAAGT